GAGCAGCGGACCTAGTTTAGTGACATTGTTGACGTTGAGCTTTCATTTTTATTGAAGAAAAGTCAAAGTAGTTTCAATATATTTAAGTTTTCGAGGACAGTATTATGTAAGGCTTGGACATGCTAGCCGACTATATTCTCAATTGTTTAATTTTGTATAGCTTAATACTTGAAGAAAATTAACAAATGGCTTGAAGAAATTGCTAAAATCTGAGTTATGAAATAGCGTAATTTACCTAGGAAGTCTCAAATATTGGTGAAAATATGTGTTATACATTTCATGATTTTACCCTGATGAAAGTGCAAAAAATAATTCTAACTAAAATGTTGCCAACCCAAACACATTTCCAAGCCCCACCATTGGTCCCCAGACCACACTGTGGTCATGCACAATAGAGCAGAAGACTTTTTCCATTTGTAAATTAAACTGTTTCCTGCTATTGAGTTGTGATCAATGTATTTTCAATACCAATGTGTTCCTTGTTGCAAATACCAATGAAGCAGAGTGAAGTGATATACAGAGACAAGAGTCCTAATATATTTCCCACAAACCATATTTAAGTGACTTATTCATGTGCATTTACTCTTCCTGCACTCTTCATCTGTTAACAGGCTGTATATTTTAGGCTTAGAGCTCACGGTGATACTTTCAACCATGGTGATGTCTCATTATGAGTAATAGGTCTCTAAAGCGTGCTTGTTTGGCTTATTTGGGGCCATTGGAGAGCAATAAAGTGTCTGAGGATTTTCAGAGTCCTTATAGACTTTCCCCAGGTGTGCTGTGCTGCTCATAAAGTACGACTTGTCTCACAAGGTAGATTGAAGGTTAAACGTGCCTAGTGAACATTTCCCCTCTAAATACCAGCTAATATACGGTACAGTACGCACTTTCTTATTTCTTTGTCGTGGGATTTCTGTGCAAGCAGTACAATGAAATAGATTTTCGACTTCACATGTTCTTCGTGTTTTGTTTGGAACCAAAGTGGCAGTAACAGTAGGGCCACTCTGTAATTTATATTCTGTGACATCCATTTCCTTTGTTCCATGCTTTCCATTGAGGGAAGGCTCCCATGTATTTTCTCAGTTTTTAGTTATTCAGAGTTTACTTTTATCACTGTACTCGAGGCGGGCTAACCTTGTGTTTATTTATGAGGAACTCAGGCTTCACCCTGAACTTTCATTCACCACATAAAAGCGCTCCACTTGCTACTAATTTACCTTTAGGGACTTGGAAATTATCTGTCTATGCTGTCAGAATCTCTTCTTTTGTGGCAACGACTAATCTTCATCAAAGTGTTTCCCCAGGGTTTAATGAATGCCTGGTAAAAAGATAGGTTAATGTTTTTCATATAAACGAAAATACAGAGGCTGAGCGTTCTTATTATTGAGCTTAAAACATGGTTTATTGTTTAAATGTTCCTGTGTTAGTTGTTAGTTGAGCTGACATGAAAACACCACCTGTAAACACAAAAAAATCTTTAAAACGAATTTACATAAAGGATAACAGCTATAAAATATGTAAACATGCATGTTTTTGCAATTTTATACTATACATACTTATATAGAGAGAGCTTTCTGACAGCAAACTCTGCAGCAAACTCATGTCCCACTTGTATTGAGACGGAGACTGGAGCGTAGGGGGTTTGTGGGGTTTTTTTTCCCTTGACTTAATAGGTGACCACTTCACCTGGTAATGCCTGAATAAATATATAACAATTGTTATTTTTGTCCAAAGTTATCCTTAGTTCAGATTTCTCATCTTGGAGGAGGGTTTTTGGAGTGTTGAGACCTGTGTCGAAAAAAAAAAAAAAAGGAACTCGATCCCCTCGTGTGTGACATTGTATAAACACTGTAGTAGCTCTGCTCAAACAACTTTGCAGTATATGCATATGAAAATATTGCAACTGTGTCACTGGGGTGTTAGCATTTTGTTTCATCCGTGCCATTTGATTCGTTGTCACACCGTTCCTGCTCCTTTCCCACTGTTTATATGTTCTTTGTCAGAATAAGTAAACTCACTCTGCTGAGATGTTCACCTTAAGGTAACAGCAGGAGGAACCGATCAGCACATTCGAACATGTGAAACTTTCCAACCACCACAGCAGGCCTCCAGTGAGATGCACATTAGTCGTCATTCTTAATCTCAAAGATGGAATTGGCAGCATTTGTTAGCGTTGGGTCTGTTTTGCTGTGTGTGTGTGAGGAGCCGAAGCTGGAGCCCTGCTGGCAGTCAAAGATAGTGCAGCTCTTTCTTTGCTCTCGACCCCACATGAAGATTCCCATCAAGATAATCCTTAATAGAGAATGGCTTCACATTTAATCTTAGCTCTCTTCTCCAATTTCCTACTTGATATGGTTTTTGGCCAGGGTGGGTTTGGTGCCGATGTCAGTTGGACACTTTCACTGCGTCTCTTTTGTTGAGTGTCCACTTGGCACATGGGCCAGGTTCTAAGCTTTTAGAGTCACAGCAAGCATTATTGCTTATTATTCAGGTGTATGATAACATGTTTGCCCAAAGTCTGGCCTGGGGCCCAGTCATGACACTGGGATGTGTGGCCAACAAGTTCTGATACTTTTATGGCCAACCACTATAGTAAGAAAGATATTTAAGACTTTTTGACAGTTATTCTCTGAATGTGTTTTAAATAATGGCCTGATAAATGTTGTCTGATTATAATTATTTTTAAATAATGTTGTTTGCTAACCTATAGCCTTATTTGGTATTTCCTTTTTTGGTGATTTGTACGTGTTAATATTTTTTTCATTTGAAATTAGTTATCTGTGAGGTATTTTTAATGTTATGAAAGAGACCTGATGCACATGTGCTGTGTTTATTGCAGCTCTGATTTAAAACATACCTTGCGGAAAAATCTGTCTTCAGTTCAGTCAGTGATGCATAAGCAGCCTTGAATAATGATATTGTGCAATTTTAAAATAAGCACATTGCAAAATTACATTTCAATCTAATTTTTTACATCTGCTTATTGAGCAACAGACAAATTCACTAACCTAATTGTGGTGTGTACGCCGCTGCTATTAGAAATAGTCACTTGAGAGTCCCTAAGCATCCTCTGGCAAATTAAGTTATCTGTTACCTGTTGGGTGTGCAATATATTCCGTGCACTGACGGTGAAACATAAGCTTGTGGATTCACCTGTGGGTCGTCGGTGAGAAAAGGGAGGAGGGGGTTGGATTTTCAGCTCGTCCCTGCGCACATATCATTACTACAGTGTGTTTAAATCACAGCTCTCATCTATTTCTGTCAGCTCCTTGTTGACTGCTGCTGTACAGAGGTGGCTCAGTGTTGACCTGCTTTCAGCGAGGCCCGTGAACTCAGGAGTTGATCTGGAAAAAAAAATCAATGAGTTATCAGTCGGTATATTTTCATTGGACAGAATATGACGTGCTGCAAAAACAAACAATTTTTGATTGTGATGTTTTGGTCACTGCTCGGACGCATTTATGTTGCTCGTCGTCACATTAGTTATTAGTGATTGGACGTAGCAGCAGTGTGTATGTGAGTATATATATATATATATATATGTGTGTGTGTGTGTGTGTGGTGTGTGTGTGTGTGTGTATATAGACCCCACTGGTTACACAGTACGCTATTCTTTTTAGCCACGGGTGTTCTTTTTCTCTCAGCACCTCTTTACCATAGCAAATGTACGGTTTCCTCTTCCTGGGAAATAATTTTTCAGCTTTCAGTTGGTTTTCCAGCCTTAATTTTATTATGGGAAATTTAATTTTTTGTGGTCTTTCCCCTTCAAAACCATTCATTACGCTGAGTGGGTATTCTGAGGTAAAAGCAAAAGTTGTATGGGCCTCAACACCGGCTCAAATAAATCATCAGTTTGAACTCATCAGTAGCAGAATGGCCTTGTTGAGCAGCTTCACACAGTTGAAATAATAACCTGGAGCAGACAGAAGGCAGTCATTACCTTGCACACAGACACAGTGTGTTTGTGATGATGGAGGACTTCCACTGGAGTGCTGTTAGAGACCAGGGAACCAGAAGGCTGTTAAAGCCCCGGCCTCACTCACTGTTACCTGAGCAAAAATACAAAACAGGGCATTTTGGAAAATGCAGAAAAAAATGTCCTTCTTGGTGATGCAGATCGTCAGCTGCGATTTTTTTTAATTACTATGTTTTAGCATTTAGTTTTGAGAATTCTTTTCACAGGAAAAATTTAATATCAGTAATATTTAACTCATATTTTTGCTAATGTTCAAATCTCAGATTTCTGTATTTTCTCTTTTTTTTAATATTAATTGGAGTTTGAAATATATCCACTTTTATTTACCACCTCACCATTTTGCCATTTTAGTTCATTTTACTGTTTTTTTCCCCTGTATTTGTTTTGTTTTTTTTTATTTTATGTTTTGTCATTATTGTATTTTATCTCAGCCTCCCTTTTTTTACATTTTACAGTAAAACTCATCTCTTTCCTGTTTGTTCATCGCCGGTTTCTAAAATTCTTACCTTTTCCCCCCTTTTTTACACGTCTTGTCTATTTTGTCTTCACTCCAGACTCACCATCCGCAGCTGCATTTTCTATTATCTAGTCGTCCTTTTTGCCCTGTTTTTCATTTTGACCTTTTAACTTTTTGTCCTTTTTCCCTTTTGCCAACTTTTTTTTATTACACCTCAGCATCCCCTACTCCATTTTCTGCAGTAAATGCTCTTTTCTACTCGTCCTGAGTCTCCACTGATAGGATCTGAAGAGGACTCTATTGTTTAAAGCTGTGAGTGAATGACATATGGGGAGCTGGTGTGAGGCTCAACTCCCGCGTGCCTCCTCCAGACCTAAAGCCTTCCTGTGAGAGAGAGAGAGAGAGAGAGAGAGCAAAGAGGAAACTTTTCTGCATTTTCTAACAGCAGCAGCCTCCCTCTCTTTCTCCCTCTCCCTGCCTCATTCACTGCCCCTCTCTCGCCCTCCCTCCCTCTCTCCGGTTGCTCTCTCACTCTCTCTCTCTCTCTTTTTTTTCCCTCTTCCTCAGACACTCACCAGTCACTGCCTGAAGCAGTAATCGGACAACTCTCTTTCTCACTAGGACTGTGTCTCCTGAGATAACGCACAGGGCTCCATGGCTTCCACCACCTAAAATGAAAAAGAAAAAGTAGACTTGTAGTTTTTCCACTTTTCCTCCGCTGCACACTCTGCCGTCCCGTACAGAGCTGCTTTTAACAGAGACTTTCTGCTGTCCCTTGTGCCGGACTGAAGAATTTGTATGAAGATTATTTTTAAAAAGACAAGCAGTCAGACGGGATAAACACACTGGGACTCAACCATTATTGTAGTGAGTATTTCTCAAAATGTGAATTTTTGGTTTTATCTGTGTGTAACATGTTCCCATTTGTGGTTGTCTTTGTGTGTAAATGTGTTTTTGGAGTGTGTCAGTCAGTGTTTTGTGTGTGTAGAAATATATTTAATCATGTAGTGGCGCGTCAGATTTTAATACATTTCACAGAATATTTATGTTAAAAATGTAATTACCACACGTAACATGTCATTAATGTCAGTCATTTACAAAACCTTCCTATTATAACAAAAACTGGTAAAAACTAAACAGGACTCATTCAGAAATAATAACAGCTAAATATGAAGGTTTTAAATCTGGAGATGACAAATATAATTTTAAAAAATCCACTTGCAAAAAATATAAATGTTGGTGAAATTTTAATCTAACCCACATTAGATAAGCAACAGTAATAATGTGTAAATGCTGGAGCTGCTGTAGATTAGATTACAAATGATGTTAATGTGAAACAGTATTTTGTTTTATGGTCTTTATAAAAAAAATACTTTGAATAAATTTAAAACAATTTCAATAACAAAAACCTTATCTTCATATGTTTTGAAAAATATTTATTAAACAAAAATTTTATTTCTAAATATATTTTATTTTTAATTATACGATAAAAAACAGTCCTCTCTTCTCCGTCTTTATACGGTTTATGTTTTCGATCAGACAAGACAAACACACTGGTCCCATCAGGAGTCTCTCTGTTTTTCGACTGGCAGAACAAACAAACAACAAGAAAAAACCCGAAGACACAGTTGAAGCAGTTGACATTTAATGCCATCTGCTCCGGCCAGGAATGCTGCGAGGAGACCTGAGAGGCTCCCAGCGTCTGACCAAGACAACAGGCCTCGGCCGGCGGCCGTGAGAGACAGCGGCTCCGCTCGGTGCTGCCTCTTCCACTCGTAGTGAATCTCGCTGTAATGACACGGCTTCTGTAATTGAAGGATGTTCTGGTCAAATTGTCGTGTGCTTGATAACAGACTCGGATCACGAGTCGGGGAGTTATTGTACGGCGCGTGTGTACGTCCACCTCTGAAATTTAGATGTTTTCTTCATCCCTTTTTATCCTTTTCACCTTGTAATTTTGTGTTATTTTTAAAGGCTTTTCTCCTCCGGCTGTTTATAGAGGGCTGTGTTTGTAGATGAAAGAGAGGAAGCGGAGAGGTTAGGGGAGAATACGCCGTGCAGCCTGCGTCGGAGTGGCCTGTGCTCTCTCCCTGTAGATAAACATGACAGTGTGCTTGTGTTTGTGTGTGTGTCTGCCTGCTGCAGCCATTCACTCACTCACACAATAACCTTATTTATTCAATTAACAGATAATGAGGCAGCTGATTTGAACCTATTTACACTGGGTATTTACTTTGCACACAGAGGTAGAGAGGCAGAGATCAGGGTCTTTCTGTCTGTGTGGCTGCCGAACGCCGTGCATGTGTAGCAGTGGGTGAGCGAACGAGTGGTCAGCGGTGACGGTGGCATTGTTTGCCCAAGGATTGATGACTCAATCATGGAGTTCACGCCGGAACCTTCTCCTCATTCGCTCAGGGAGGAGTTAATTGGTCCTTAAAAAAAAAAATAAAAACGGGTGACCTCGTGTGAGCCCAGTAGTGAGCAGGGGTTGTTTACTAAATACGGAGGGGGTGATATTTTGTTAACACACCACTGTTTGGATGGGAAAAGTGCAGCTGAAAGAGCAGGAAATTAGTTTGAAAGCTTAGTTGCTGATCGCCATTACAGGTCATCAGTCACTAATACCCCCCTCACATGTTTGTTTGTAAATGGCAGCATGTTTACGTAGAGCAGGATGATGAGGAAGCTGTGGAGCTGTGTTCAACACACATTTGTGTTTATACAGGGGCTGAATTAAATTGACATGTTCAATTCAATCATTTATTAGAAAAAATACTCATGTCAAATTCAGCCGATATTTTTGCACAGATATATCATATTTTCTGACATCTCTGACCTCTGTGTGAAAAACACTTAGTCTCTATTGTTCCAGTGATGGAGACCTGAGATTTGACATCCCGCGGTGGTCTCGGTGGTGGGCAGCTCACGATAAAGTGTGCACCTAAATCTTGTTTGATGGCCCCTGAAAAGGCCAGCAAGCCTTATGGAAATAATTTGGAAGTTTGAAGAGCGTGGTATTAAAAGATTTAATGTAACGAGAGAGTGAATTGCCTGAGCAATGAGTCAAATCGAAGCTACATTTAAAAAAAAGTGAAACAACAGAGACAAACAAGACATGTGTGAGGAATTATAGGTTTTAATTATACACACATTTATGGGATTTATAAATGTTTTGAAGAAAAATAGTTTCTTCAGTGCAGACAAACATTCATTCACCAGAATTATTATTAAAAAATGTGTTTTTCATTTAAAATAATTCACATTGGTGCTAATGTGATGTTTCATTATTATAACCCTTGATTTCCCAAATTAATTACATAAATAACATCAGCGTGAAATTCCTAATGTCCAATCATTTTATTTGAAATGAGCAGCAGCTGCCTTATCTGAAATACTTCACATGACAGGGATGGAAAAAAAACACCAGGCTGTTTAATAATACATTAGTTGGCAGCCATTACTTTGTTAATATATATTTCTTTCCAACCACATACATATAGGACATAAATGTAGCAATTTTCTTTTTTTTTTACTAAAACTGTGCCTAATTCCACTCACATCTGTGTCCAATTGTTTGTCTGCATCTACATTCTTCTGCCAGTGGATTTGTTTTTCCTGGGCCACCATGTGGATTCAGCTGACCAGCTTAAGTCAAGGATTAGTTGTTTTAAAAAGTTAGATTTTGATTAAAGCATTGTCTTTTTCTTTTGTTTTTTTGTTAGAAGATGTAACTGACAACACATGCCTGACACAGTCTGTGAAATATTTGTGTTGAAGTGAATGATTAACTAGTCAAAATGATGCAGGAGAGTTTAATTCTATGCAATTTATTTATTTATATTAAAAATATATATTTTTTATATATATATAATGTACATGCCCACCTCTGGAGTATTAACGTGTAGGAGGAGTAAACCCATTCTGCCTGGTCACCACTGATGATCCAGACTTAAAGCTCCACCGACTGTGTTTACTTTTGCAAACAAAGGTCTTAAACCAGGAAAAGCAGGAAACAAAAGGGCCTGAAAACAAAAATGAGTGAAGCGTGTTGTGACACTTCTTGGCCTTCTTTTTCCCCCTCCTCATGATGACATTTTCAGCGCTTCATCTAACCTCGCAGCTTTTGTTCTTCTTTAGCTTCAAAGAGCTGGAAGTTCAGGTTGAACTAAGACCCAGATCAAAGATGCTGAAACTTTTTTTTTCTCTCTTTTCCTTAAATGATAAATATTTAGCCAGGCAGAAGAAAGACTTGTTTTTCCTTTTATCCCCCCGCCCCTTCTCCTCTTCTAAATACCCCTCCCTCACCCCCCCTTTTCCCTTCTTTCTCTTCACCTGGTTGTTTTCACCTGCTGGTCATGACTGAAACACCGGCATGGCTACTACACACACACACACACATACACACACACAACATAACCTCCCCACGACTGTGATGGCTGTTAATGTGCTTTGCTGTGTTTTTCATCTGCTTTTCCTTCACTTTCTTTTTTTTCCTTAGTACAAATATAATCACATTTCTTCGACTCTTTATATTTCCATTTTTTTCAAAGTGCCAGGAGGAGGCGCTGCTGTTGTCTATGGCTTGTGAAGTAAAATGTGATGGTTGTATATATGTTTGTTTGTTCTTTTCACTGGTTGTACCAGGAGCATTAGAAGAAAAGCTGGGCTGGTATTCATGAAGGCTTTGCACTGGTGTGAAAAGCAAAGTCAGTAGACCATTCATGGTGCTCAGGTTACACTGACTCGTGTAAACAACTAGCTTATTTATTTTTATTTTAAAAAATACGATAATTTCAGGATTTTATTGTGTGGTTCATTTTTATTGGCGGTTCTGACCTTTTTTTGGACCCTTGTTTGTTCCCCATGGAGAGCTGCAGGCAGGTCAGATATACTGTAGCGTTATAGTGCCGTAAAGAATACGGCTTTGCTTGATGTTTGTAGAGAGAGACGAGCACAGAGGGTCCACGGAGTGGACAGCAAAATGTAACTGTCAGCTAGAGGAGAGTAATAGAGGCATTCGTAGCGTCATAGGAAACATATGTGGCTCCATATGCTCTCTGTGTTCTTGTTTCCAGTCTCCTTCATTGTCTGAGATGCACCACTGATCTGGGGGCCTCTAAAGTGCCCTGTGTGAGTGTGTGTGTGAGTGTGTGTTTTTGCCCCACTGATGTGGGGGCCTCTGATGTGCCCCGTGCATGAGTGTGTACTCATGCAGACACAGAGAGCGTGAGTTATGTTTTTCACTCTCTGCTGCATGAAAAAAAAGTCATAAGCAGGAATTTTCATGTTGCCACAGGAAAAGGACAGATTTACACAATGGCTGTGTGAAAGTGTGTATAAATGTCTGTGTCCACCGTGGATAGAATCTGTGGATAGAGTGTGTGTGGATTTTGTGTGTGTGTGTGTGTGAGTTTTGTGGCCCCAGGCTGAGGCAGGCCCACGAAAAGAGAAAAAAAAGGCAGCCCTGACGGTCTTTAGGAGCTGTCAGTCTGAAGGGAACGGGGAGTGCTGATAAATTTCAGATAGTGTCAAATGCAGATGAAAGATCTGCTGAGGATGCTGGGGGTGTCACGCCTGACTTGTCGCTCTTCAACAAGTCCCATCTTCCTCCCCGCAGTAGCAGCAGCAGCAGCAGCAGCAGTAGTGGGCAGTTCTCTCCCACCCTCTGCTGCCCCCTCACACTGCTATCCTCCAACCCCCTCACCCCTCTACCTATACCTTCACCCCCTCAACCTCCTCCACCTCCACCCACCCCTTCCTGCTTACCTTGGCTAAGCAGCTTTGCATGTTGATTGGGGGAGGGCTAATCCAGTTTGCAGCTGTCGTAGACCAATGATGAATCACCTTTCCGTCATTTGGCCGTGCTCCTCTTGCTCGGGGAGGAGGGAGGACCTGGCGGAGGAAACAACAGTGGAACAGGGTTGCGGCTTGCACTCGCGCACACACACACACATGTACACACACACGGGGAGACAATGCGCGCCTCTGTTCCCTCTGCCGGTCTCCCCTTCTTCCCATTCTGCTGCAGAATAACAATAATGTTTTCTCAGACAAGCCTTTTTGTGTCATGGATGGCTCTGGACTGTGACTTTGAGCTGCAGTAACAAGGAGTGACATTGTCTGTGCTGGGGGCAGGTGGAGGCAGCGTGAGGAGGAAGAGAGTGGGGTTTGGGAGGACTCAGAGCCACCTAGGTCCAGGTAAGAGCACGGTTGACTCAGTGCCAGCTGCATCAGAACTACTTTGACTCTCTGTCAACTTCTGTCGGTGCAGTGTGTGTTTGCTGCTTAGAGGTGACAACGTCAGCTAATGTCAAAAAGTGTTTTTTGTTTTAAAGTTTAAGAAATAGAAATAAGTTTGTTCCATCCTGCAGCTCTGCAGGTCTGTTGGCTGTGATATTTTAGGAGAAATGTAAATTGATAAACCTTTGGGAATTTGTAATGCAGCGTCTATTATTGGAGCATGTGTGAAGATGATTGAATTACCGACTTTTATCCTGTTTGACTTAGGGAAAAAAAAATATATATATATATATACTTGTTAAATCCAAATAAATTAAACTACAGGACACAGCTGCTTCTGGCAAACTCTGTTGTAAAGTATCATAATATCACAACAACGTAATCTTAAATGCTGTCAGCGTCTATCATAATTTCATCTTTTTAGCTCGTAATTCCGCTCCTTTTTTGCCATCTGATAGCACATGGGATATTCACATTCACTCGAGTCTCACTTATCTTTGTGGCCTTGTGTAAAAGGCCAATGTTTACCGATAGCAGAGATACAGGGAACCTCTGGAATATAATTGGAAATGGCAGCGTAATGTACAAAAACGTTTTGTCCTAATTTCATTAACTCGCCGTTTGCAAAAGGAGGAACGGTGGCAGAGACAAATGGAGTCTGGAGTTTGTGTGTCTGTCTCTCAGTCGTTCCTGTTGCCTTCTCCCTCCACTGCGTCGTTGTCTGCTGATCTGATCTCTCTCTCTCTCTTTTTTTTTATCCCAGCACACGAGTGAGCAGATAGAATAATGTTTTCAGTGGCGTGGTCCTTTTTGTGTAAACACAGCAACAATTAAGGAGCTTGCCAGAGCAAACACATGCCTCATGAGCTTCTCATCTGCCCCATCACTGAGGCATGGGCTCTTATAATCAAGCAGAGTGCAGCCACTTTTAACGCAGGCACATTAAGCGTCGCCTCAGAGCAGCAGAAACATCTGTTAACAGTCTGGGATACCACACAACACCATATACACTTTAGGCCATTTTTACTCCCAAACTCACCAGAGTAAACCGATAGTAAACTCTGTGTGTGTGTGTGTTTGTGTGTGTGTGTAGAAGAGACAGTGACTTGTTTTACTCTTGTCAAAATGTTTATTTCATAGTGTGTAAATGCCTCCATTTTATTTCTGCATCTGTGTGTTTTCCACGTCACTAAGTTGTAATCTCCCGTTCAGAAGGCCTCGGTGTAAACTGCTGATTTCTATTTGTATTCATGTTGCACTTTTAACATGATGCATTTGCAGCGTCTCTCTCTCGCTCTTTCTCTCTCTCTGTGCCTTTATTTATTCAAATCTGTGCACAGGCGTGTTATGCACATTGTGTGCAGAGAGTTGCGTATCAGAGCAGAGTGTCTTCCCTGAAACCGGAGCGATATGTGTAATTTGATTTGCTTTGTGTTTGTGTGTGTGTGTGTGTGTCTTGTCAGGTACAAGGAAATGCAGGATCTAGCCAGTCCTCACAGCCGAGTAAGTGGAAGCAGTGAATCTCCTAATGGTCCCAACCTCGACAATTCACACATCAATAACAATTCCATGACACCCAATGGCACTGAAGGTATGTGTGAGAGCTGGGAGGCTTTTCAATCCTCACTGCTATTGTACCGTGTATTTAAAAAAAAAAAACAAGCTGATGGAGGATAAACAATACTATTTTATAAAAGTATAAAAATGTTTAGATTCTAAAACATAATTTAATGTATGTTATGCCTTTTTTTTCTTTAATTTTTCTAAGAATATAAACTGTTTACACTGAAACTTCATTCCTGTTGAATGAGCACCAGCTCCAGGTTTTCCAGTAACTACTAGCTGTTTACAAAGTAACCATGTAATTATTCAAAGCGTGTACATCGACAACGGGCATTTGCATGAGGTTTCTCTGGTCAACGCGCCAGTGATTTATTCAGGTGTTTCACCTCTGGATGAAGTCTTTGTTCAGTGAAGCAGCAAATCATCACAAGCTCTGAAAAAAAAAACATCCTGTGCCATCACATAGTTCTGGCCTTAGTCAGTGGCTAGTTTGTTTTTTCATATATAAAAGTGACCCAGGTCCTGTAGGCATGGTGCCGACTGTCATGTGAGTGAGCTCTTTGCCATTCTTTCTTCTTTTCCCATAGGTGATAACATCACAATGCTTACCACTGCAGACTGGTTGTTAGGTTCTAACTCACAGTCCGCTGCAGGTTTGTCTACTTTTGGAGACACAATGAAAGGACAATAGTTGGTGGTTTTTCATTTGGTTGTTGTTGTTTTGTTTTTGCTTCATTCACTTCAACTATTGTGCCTTTCATTCACAAACATTTTTTTTTTTTTTTTTTTTTTTTTTTTTTTTGCTGTTGTGAAAAAAAATTAGTTTTGTTTTTCAAGCATGGTTTGAAACAACTGGTTTTGATGTTGTTGAAAATAAATGTCCAGGTTGCAAAAATGTTCACATTGTTTGCATTCAAACGTTGTTTGATGCCACAGTGTTTTTTTATTGTGTGTTTAGTGACAGGGCTGCAACAGTGAATCAACTCTGAGTCTACTGTACTTATTTTATTGACTTTAAAATAAATACCAATAAGGTTTTGTGATTTTTGAAGTTTGCTCTTCCACATTATTAATCACGCCAATCAAAAAAAATCACTCATCTCTTCCATTGACAGTGACAATAATAGTCCGTTGCAGCCCTGCACTGTGAGTGTGTCCCGGGTCATGCATGCACCTCACAAATATTTGTTCTTCTGAAAGAGTCGTCACCTTGTGTTTCTGCACTGATTGAGCATGACCGTAAAAAGTCTCCTCCAACAAACAAGAGAGGGTCCACGCGCCGTGGCTTCCCTTTGCCCACATTGTCAATTTGTATTGCCAAAAAAAAAAAAGAAAAGGAAGAAAAAGGAAAGAACACACCCTGCAGCTCGGCCTGTGAAGGGAGATAGATTGATTTCAAAGATTCCTGAGCTGTGAAATTGTCTTTACAGACAGGGTCAAACAGAGTTTGCTACACTCTTAAAAAGATTTGATACACCATACAGTTCCCTGACATTTCAAGTGAAGTCGTGTTTTCATCGCTGACTCTTCACACACACACACACACACACACACAGTGAAGAGATTTTAATTCAGGTAACACTGAAAAAGTCAAAGCAAAATGATCAGAATTTTTCTAAACAAAATTTAGATTTAATTTCTTTTATTATATCCCTTGTATTTATTTCTGTTTAATGAATATTCTTAAACCTCTGCTTTGGACTTTTATTTTGCAGTGAATTTTCTTTTTTGTCCTTTAAATATAATTTTGTTAACATGAGATCCTGAAAGGTTGATGTAAAAAAGAAAAAGAGCTGCAACAGTCACACGACTGATGATGTAATCACAACTAGTTTAATTGGGGAAGAGTTCATTTTAATAGTGAAATAAATTTATTTTTAGAAGAGTATTTGTTGTATTATATTTGTTTGGGGTCAAATGCCAAAGGAAAAAAAATCTCTATTTATTGTTTTGGTTTGAAAGTCAACTGAATGTTGCATCTCTGTTTTGTGGACACCTACTTGTTCAGATAAAACTGATCCACAAACTTTGGCTGTGGCGATAATTACGATGGAGGATACTGAAGTGTGATGGTGTGTTTTCTTTTTATGCAGTTAAAACCGAGCCAATGAGCAGCAGTGAAATCCCCACCTCAGTCGCAGATACTTCCCTGGATAGTTTCTCAGGATCAGGTGAGTACACACACATACACACATACACACAAACACACACACACAGCTGCTGATCTGATAGAGGTGAGCGATGAGCCCAGAGATTGGCTGATAAGTCAGGCCTCAGGAAGTGTTCCTGCAGCTAAGACGTCAATATAGTGTGTGTGTATGAAAACAGGAGACTCTATCTTTCCTTTGTCAGCACATATACGATATATGCTGTGCTGGCTTCTGTGTGTGTGTGTTATAACACGGCTGGTTCCCATGCCTGTGCAGACTGAATTATGGGCTGTAACGCAGCGAGCCTGTCTGTCCACTGGAGTGACACGGCGTCCCAGTGGCCCTGGCTCTCCACGGGCTGTTACCCTATCACCCTGTTAGAACCAGGAGTTTGACACCCTCCTCTCAGCACAGGAACATCACTCACACACACGTACGCACGCACACACGCACAAACTTGTGCTTTCACATCAAACAAACCCAAATCTCTGGGTGTAATAATGATTTTAGGAATATTAAAATAAATAACCATTATTTTTTAGCTTATTTTCCCCCACCATCATTGGTGTCTAATATCACCACAGTAACTTTATCATTATTATTAATAATAACAGGAGTTTTCAACAGTCCCTGGTTTTGTCTTGCAGCTAATTTTCCTGTTTTTTTTCCTCCACTGTTTAACCAAGTACTCGATACTTTCACGCTAGCAGCGCATAAATCACTGCTGCGACTTTTGACTTTGACAGTAATAATGAAACTTAGTAATATTACACCTCTGATTCTGGGTCGGGGGGTAAGGTGGGGGGAGGGATGTGTCGACCAAAGCTGTGTTCCGTGGAGCAGGTTCTGTCCAGTGGCAGGTGCTGCTGATGTGGGAAAAGTGTTCAATATTAACAGTCTGTGTGATGGAGGTTACAGCGTACAGTTACATCAACTGTTCACACACACACACACGCACACACACATATATACAAAACCAAATCCAATATTTTACAGTTAGAGCAGCTGCTCCAAAGGTCGACCACTTGTTTGCAGTTATTTCGTTTCGTGTTTGAATTTTGAATTTTATTCGAGGCATTTTAAATGATTTTGAATATATTTGATGTTCTTAGATCTGAAATATTTTTAATTGAAATGTAGTACATTTATAAGGAGTGGACCTGGGTTTAAATAGTAAAAACTAATACTTCAATTAATTATTATTTATTTATTAGGCTTAATATTTAGCAATGTATCACAAAAAATTATAAATTATTTTTTCCTAAATGCAAATATTTAATGGAAAATGAATTTTATTCTTTAATTTCCATATGTAATTTAATAACAACATTCAAAACTGTATTAAATCATCTCCAAACAGCAAACTCTGACAGTGTCAGTTAAATAATATATAATTATATAGTTTAAAAAGATGTTTTTAAATAGTATTGTAACCTTCAATTTACAAACATCTAAATTGGTAGGTTAGCTTCTATGTGGTTTTAATTTCTCGTACCTAATTTATAATTATTAATTTAAATATAAAAAATTATTGCATAAGCATTAAGCTAATGGATACAGGTTGTTTAAATATGTTTAATTTAAATTTCTATCCATTCATTGTCTGATTGATTCAGCAGTCGAAAATGACAATTTTTGTTTCACAGTGAGAATCTTGGGTGAATTTATAAAAACAAAAACTGATGAAACTAAATGTCCTAAAATGCCACCGTGGCGTTTTGAAGGGTCATCCACAGTTAGATGTCAGGCAGGGCTGTGGCAGGAATGAAGCAAATGCCTTTGACAAAAGCCCAGAATGTTTGTTCAAGGACTTGTTCTACACGTTCACAACAAGGTATTTGTGGCTGAACCTTTACAAGTTAACAGCAGCGTGAAAACCACCGCAGTCGGGCTCCTAATGAGGGAGTGATTATGCAATAGCACTCATTACCTGTAATCAGTGTTGTCGCTTCCAATGTGCCTGCGGCCTGACGAGCCCTGAGGGCAACAGAAGCCTCCAGCTGTGTGTGTGTGACTCAGACTCTACTGTGTGTGTGTATGTGTGTGTTTACACCAGCCGTCACCATAGCAGCGCTGAACTATCTCAGAGATAATGCCGGTCAGCAAAGGAAAAAACAAAAGAAACACTGGTTTCTTACCTGATTATTTTACATTCATTACCGCTCCTCCACGTTCAACCATAAATAAGGTTACGGAAATAAATAAAGTAGCGCGGCGTAATTGCCGTTTCCCCAGAATCCTAGCGTTCTGTTGGCGAAGGATGATGTTGACCTTCTTTCTTCATGTTTAAATATGCGCTCTTCTCTCTTTTCTGTGACTCTCCTCAGCTATTGGAACCAGTGGCTACAGCCCAAGACAAACTCACCAGTTCTCTCCGCAGATTTATCCTTCCAAGTAAGTCTGCTTGATGTTTTGTGTGTGTGTGTGTGTGTGTGTGTGTGTTTGTGTGTGTGGGCTTAAATAATAAGCAGCATCCAACTTCATTTTAGGGTCTTTAATGAGATCCTGCTGCCAGATCAGGGTGGGATGTTCTGGACTCACTCTTTGTGTACTTTGTTGTAATTATTATCTTCCAGTAACTTTCATTTTGCTATATTTTTTAACGTACACACACATACTACGCAATCACTACAATATATGTCCTCTCAGTTGAGAATGAGAATTTTCTGTTGTCATTCAGTGTTTGTTTTTTTCTCACTTTCTGACTTTTTGCCTTTTGTTTCGTTGCCTAAAATAGCAGAACGTATCCACATATTCTTCCCACCCCTTCATCCCAAAATATGGCTGCGTATGGGCAGACGCAGTACACCACAGGAATGCAGCAGGCCGCAGCTTATGCTAGCTACCCCCAGCCTGGCCAGCCCTACGGCATCCCAGCTTATGGTAAGATTCCTCCGACACAACTAATAGCCTTGGTGCCTGCTAACAGTGTCAGACCTCTGTAAACCCAGTGTGTGCACGGAGACAGAATTTTCCTTCTGTAAATTCTGGACGGAGACCTCGCTTATGACAGTCCACACAATTCCCACTGCCCCTGCAGAAAAGCGGGACTGGGAGAGAGAGGGAGAGATGCTGACTTTTTGTTTAGTGCCTGCATGTTCTCCTCCACGGCAGTAAAACGGAATTTGCTTGTCAAGCTGTTCAGATAGTAGAGTGAAAGATTAGCGATATAAATCTCCAAAACAAAAGCGAGTTTCATCTGGCACCGCAGAGAGACAACGGACAGCATCGGTCTGCTCACTGCAGGCTTTATTTGTCCAATGTTTTTGCAGGATTTTGACCCAAAAAAGACTCCAATAAGTGCAGGAATTTACCCTGTTTATTTGAGTGGAGCCCCTGCAGCCCACTGTTGCACAGACACCGAGTTGTGACTGATTGAGTGTAAGCAGTGAGGAGTTCAGCTCAGAGAAACAAGCAGTGATGTTTTAAATATTTGTATCTGATGATAATTAAAACCCTGCGTCAGTTCGTGAGCATCCGTCTGCTGTGGTTCCGTTTTCTCCAGTGCACTTTACAACTTTGTGTTGGCTGTAGTCCGTGCATCCAACCGATCTGGTGTCACTAACTGATTTAGGTCCATTGTGGGCAGGCATAAAGACAGAGGGGGGTCTGAGTCAGTCCCAGTCCCCTGGACAAACCGGCTTCCTCAGCTACGGCTCTGGATTCACCACGCCACAGACGGGGCAGGCGCCCTACAGCTACCAGATGCAAGGTGAGGAAGTTTTTTTTTTTGTTTCTGTGAAACAATCTGGGCATCTGCTGATTAACAAGGAAAATATCAGAGAGATCAGTTTTGTAGTTCTGTGGATTTTGCTGAGTATAAAAATTAGCTCAAATAAACACCTTTGTGCTGATGTCTTTTAATTGTGATGTAATACGTTTTCATCACTTTATGCTTCATAGGTAAGCTACACTATATGTATTTATGTTTTTGCATTTTGTCCATTTAACCTCAGTCCCCTAAACACATGTGCCTCATTGGCCACAATTCAAATCTGAATGTGTCGGTCAAAGGACAAAGGTCGTCATCTGCCAACACCTAGTATTTTAAATGCAGCATATTTACTTGCTTATCTTTTAAAATATAAAAATTTAACTTGATGATGGGTGAAAAGTCAGTGACAGTGACTCTGTCACTGATATAACAGACTCCAGAGCCAAACTGATTCACAACATGGGCCTCACTCTCACCCCAGGAGACGGTTGCATCTCAAAAGTTATGCTACGTGCAGCCACAGCGAGTGCCTGCTTTGTCTCTCTTCCTAGAGGAATCAATGCTGATGGAAAAAAAAACCTCATAGACACCACAGACACCAGCCATGCCCTCCACCACCCCCGCCTCCCCAGTCTTTGTTTTTTCTCTCCCTGTGATCATATTTGTATTTGTTTAAGAGCTGAGACCATTCAGATTTATGGCCTCAAAACCGATAAAAATGAGTTGTAGCGTATGCACTCCTCCTCCTCCTCCACCTCCACTCCTTTCCCTCCAACTTTCAGCCCCCTTTAGTGCGGCTCAGGCCTTCTGCCATGGAGCATTTCTATTTTTCTCTTTGCATCGGTTCAGATACTGTAAACTCCCTGACGGCGACAGGAACAGTGAGTCATCTGTGAGCACAGTCTCCGTGTTCGTCCCAGTAAAATATCCGGCGTGTGACGGTCCAAACGTCTCCACATGTTGCCCAAAAATCCTCACAATAAATAAGGCCAGCTCAGCAGCAGATGTGGCACGAGGGAAGCCTGTTTGCCACGCCTCTTAACCAAACACAGCCGGCCACAAACAGAGGTTTGCACCGTAAGTCAGAGTCCATGTCACAGAGTGGGGCAGAGCTGGGGGAAGAGGAGATGAGGCGTACGCTGCAGAA